TGACTGGTAGCACGGATTCTGTACCGGTTGCTTCCAGTTATCTTGAAACAGGATAGCTGTTGGTCTCCTCTCTCGCGGCCTGTTCTGCAAAACAGTTCTGCAAAACTCGTAATATGTTTTTAAACTGCTAATACTATTGTGGATAGCTTCAGAATGCACTTCTTTATAAACGGTGTTTACTATGACCTCCCACCTGCAGGTGTTTACAGAGCAGCATTAGTTCCCAGGCTATGGCCTTCTCAAGGCTGCACAAGGGAATAAAGCTGGCTTTACTCATCACTGAATTATGTCTCTAGGAAAAGCCTTTTTAAAATTTGCTTCATTTTTTTAGCTTGTGGGCAGTTAATGATTTACCAGCTTTTAGCCAGCTTCAGCCAGCATCTCTTGTTACAGCAGCGTGGATCTTCAGAACAGGAGCTGTGGTAAAATCTGTGCCTGAAGCAGTATTAGAGCTGGTAATCAGATGTAAGAGCCTTGAGTACTGCAGCTGTAAAATGCTTAGGATGTAAGAAGCTTGAGTGTAGAATCTAAGGCAAGAGAGGGTTTCACTTACGCTGGCCAAAGTGTGCTTTCTTCCCTTGGACAGCTAGTTCAGAAATGGCTGAGGTCCCTAGTTGTTCAACATCACCGGTGACAGAGAGTAAAATCAGCTGGACTAAACAGCTAGAGGAAGACAAAAGAAACTCCACGTCTGCAGAAATGGAGGTCTTTCTGAGTTGGATATTGTTAAATATTTCATACCTGCTCTGTATCTGTTTATTAAAACAGCTGGTGGCAACAGGTTTTCATCATTTAATGGGAGTGACGTTTAGACTGGGCACTCCCTTTCTGACTGGTTTGTTTGCCAGTAGTAATTTTCTATTTAATTATGGGAGTTACTGAGCACTGGTTGGTATTTTGGGGTGTGACCCTGCAGAGGGAGGTCTGTATGTCTACTTCAGCTTAGGTTGCTGCTAAATACACAGAAAGCTTGAAAATTGCTCAGAAATGTTAGTGAATAAAAACAGGTGCTCTGGGCTATGCTGTAATACTTTTTTTTTTTTTTAGTTCCAAACGCAAAAGAAAAAAAAAGTCGCCACTTCTCCTCCAAAGGCAGTAGACCATGTTGACGCTGACCTCTTCAGCCCTGCATATTTAGTTTGCCAAATTGCTGCATTTACTCATAGCAGTTTTGGTTGATTAACCTGGCAGTGGAAATCCAGTGGGATGCTTGATTTGATTGTGTCAGCTTCTGTGTCTTGTATGCAATAGCATTCATACTGGAGGACTCTAGACTTGGACATTTGCTTCCTCATTTAGTGAAAAATTTGAGTTGCGTGAGTGTGTGCTGTAAGGTCTCTCTCTTACCTAGATGGTTTGATAGAAGAATTTCTTTGATGTTACACCCCAGGAGATTGTGCATATATAAATGTTATAATATTTCAGATTTTGATATAGGTCACTTAGAAGAAACTCTGTGTCTTTGTACATGTTAGTACAGCAAACTCACCTTTAGGTTGTAGCTCTTAAGAGTCATGTAATGATATGCTTGTGGGTCTGACACTGTCCAGTAGAAAAGTGATTTTCCTATTATGACCTGCAGAGCTGCTCTTGGGACTCTGTGGTGTGGATCCCAGATGTGGTTGTAAAGAGAATCCACAAGAAGATCATTTCTCTTCCTCTGGAAAAGCTGGACAGCCATTGAAAAGGCATCATCAGTACTTCCTGCCTTTCTCCCTTTTCCTTCAAACCTTTGTGTAGAAGCCAGGAAGAAATAGAGAACCACAAGTAGATAAACAGTTTAGAGTCTGTGTTTTGTTCTCTGACATTAAAAACATCATTGCAGCCTTTCCTCCCTGTTGTTTAAGCATAGCCTGGAACCTAACATCTGAAATAATAATTTTATATGACTTTATATGGATTTTTTTGCTAGACACATAAAATTCAGGATGTGAACATCTCTGTGTCTTGTAACACTCATAAGAAAGGGAGCTTTTTGCACCCTTCTTACCTGTTGCATAAAGACAGAAATGGGTAGATAGAAAGAGAACATGATCTGGGGAAAAATCCTGGGGGAAGAAAAAAAAAGTAGTTTGTTTTGTTTTTTAAATAAGAGGCAATTGTAGAAAGGTGATGGAGTTGGCCTGAAGTAAACAACTGAGATTTCTTACTTCTGAATTACAGTGTAAACACTGTTGCTGGAATTGTGTGAAAGAAATGTGATGTTGACTCTCTCCTTCTTCTGTTTCCTAGATCCAGTAACACCTTTTTTCCTACTTCTAAAAGTTTCTAAGGTTTCTCTGGATTTGGACACACCGCTAGTAAGTACACATCTTAATTAAGATGACAACGTCAGCTTTGTTACTGTCTTAATCTGCTATCTGTAACTGAAGCTGTAATTACAGCTATAAAGCTAGCAGTATTTAGAAGATAGGACAAGTTTCCCTTGATGGGGGGGATCACGGATATCTACCTACAAATTCACTTTTCCTTGATACCCTGTGATGGCAAAAATGAGCTATTTTCCATGTCTTTCCCTTCCTACCCCCACAGAAGCACTACAGGCTTGCTCTTTTCTTTTTTTTTTTTCTTTTTTTTTTTTTTTAAAGCAAACAACACCCACCCCACCCCCAAAACGAAATACCATCACCAACCACAAGAAAAACTAAAACAACCCCAAACCACACACCCCCCCCAAAAAAACAACAAAAAAATGCAACCAAAAAACCCACCCTTGGTGCATCTATCAGGAATGTTCGCAAAACCAAGGTATTTAGGGTGGCCTAAACACACCTGGTGACTATAGGATGAACTAGAGACTAAAGTCTTCTGTCGATGTAACTGGTACAGCAGAGGTAATAGAAAAATACAAATCTTCCCATGCTGTCCTAAGTCCTGGCTGTGTAATCCTTGCCGTAACTATACTTTGATATAGTATAGGTGTTTTCTTCCATCCTTTTTATTAGAAAATAGGGGTGAATCTCACATCACTTCTTGCCCACCCTGCATTAACTCTGCCCAGATTTTCATCATGTACTATTGCAAATGACATCGCAGAAACAGTGGGTTTCTGAAAACAGTCAGTCTTGTGCTTATTCTAGCAACTTCTGGTAGAGCTCTATCTCAGAGTATGCGCTGCCTGCATGGAAGTTTTATCCAGGCAAAAGCAAACTCTTTATGGAAGAGCACAAGTATTGAGCTTGAGGAGAATAAAATTTGATGCTATATTAGATCTAAGCTTATTTGTTATAGTTTTGTTTCCTTCCAAGTTGGTTGCGTTGACGTTGCTGAAGCTGAGGTTAAGCATAATATTAAATCAATTATGATGGAAATAAGTCTTGTGTCCCCTTACCCAGGGAGTATCCTATTAATGACCTTCTATCTGAAAAGGTTACTGCCATGAGAACAGTAGTTTGCCCATGCTCACCTATTAGCAAAAATGTAATGCCATCTTTTGGATGAATAAAGTCCATTTTTAGCATAAATGTGGTTGTCGTTATTTCTTTTCAGCAGTGCTTCTTTAAAAGAGTATGATTGGCAGTCAAACGTTACCCACATACCATTGCAATCCTTCAGGGTTAGATGGCATAAAAAGTAAATAAATGCCAAATGCATTCTTAGGAAACAAGTTGGGCTTTATTTTTTTCTCTATAAATCAATAAACAGCTGGGTAGCTGTATAGCCTGACAATGCTTGTAGTCTGCTTCCAGTATACATAGAAATTCCTTATCTGAAAAGTTCCCTGGGCATTTGATGTTCGCAGGTGAGAAGGGTAGTAAGGGATCAGATCCTGTTTCCTCTTTGGTTGCAACCATGTCTGTAAGCTTTCTGAGATACAGTTATTCAGTTATTTGTATATGCGTTAGGTAGAACTTCTAGTACCTAAAGAATTGTTTTCTGACTCTAGAGAAGTAAGCACAATGCAGTATAATGATTGGAAGAAATTTCACTAGGAGTTTATGGCTTAATGGGTCTCGGTGAGAATTTTCAAAGTATCTGCTGATTTTTAGGTACTACAATTTTTAGTGTCCTGCTTCAAGTACACTCTGGGATGGATGCTCAGTGTCTATTATGCATTAGTTTAAAGAGGCCTATCTCAAGTACCCAGAGATGGGGTTATTCAAATTAATGAGTCTTTGTTTTGGAAATAACTTACTATTTTTTTTTAAATAATTGAGACTGTTTCCTCGGATCTCTGCAGGCAAGAGGCTATACTAGGTACGCAGGCAGTGGTTAAATTGAAAAGGAAGCAGTATTCTTTAACACTTCCTCTGAAGAGGAAAATGGGAAAGCTGAAAAGCCATCTGCTTTCTGGAATTGTTCGTATACTTAGACAGCTGGTTTTGAAAGGCAGAAGTCGTGTGGAAGAACTGTTTGTTGCTTTTGAAAAAATCATAGTGAATACTCAAAAGCGCGCGCCTTCTCTACTAGCTTACAGCTCTCATCAACAGCTTGGCCTATGTAAAATGTGGATAACTGCCTGCATATGCATTCCTTGTCCAGTGTAATGATACTGGTTTTAAGCAATTCCCTCTTACGCAGCAGTGTGGTAGGACTGAGTACGTACTCTGGTATTACATCTGGGCTAAAGAGAGGGAGCTGCCGGTTGAGGAGAGGCGAACTTCTTAAATCACGCCCACTCACTGACTCACCTTCTCCACTCAGACTCTGGAAAAGTCCGTGCAGCGACGCAAGGTGAAAGGCTGTGTAGAATCGCATGTTAAAGTGCTCCTTTTTGATCTTGAACACAGCGAATTTAGCAGTCTGTCAGCTGAGCGATCATAACAGTCTGTGTAATAGTCTGAGGTTTCATTAAAGTGTGAATTTAGTAGCGTTAGCTCCACGTAAGCTTGTAAGGCAAAGATGGTGCCAGAGTGTTACTGCCTACCAACCACCACGTAAGTTTGTTAACCTGGCACAAGTAAACTATAGTCAGTCCTATGTCCATAAACTTTCACCCAGTGACTTTTATTTTTTTAATTTTTCTTTTTAATTACAGTAAACGACTTCTGTGGGCAAGAATGGGTTGCCGGGATGTTCATGCAGCAACGGTACTGGCCTTCCTCAGTGGAACAGCCTCAGTAGCTGGACTCCTTGCAGCAGTTCTGCTTCCAAACTGGAGGCAAATGAGACTGTACACGTTCAACAAGAATGAGAGGAATGTCACCGTTTACACTGGACTCTGGATTAAGTGTGCTCGTTTTGATGGGAGCAGAGACTGCGTGATATACGACCCACAGTGGTACACTGCTGTCGATCAACTGGATTTGCGTGTTCTTCAGTTTGCCCTTCCACTGAGTATGTTAACTGCTGTCTCAGCTCTGTTTCTCTGCTTGATTGGCATGTGTAACACAGCCTTTGTATCCAGCGTGCCAAACATGAAATTGGCCAAATGCCTTGTAAACAGCGCAGGCTGCCATCTCGTGGCTGGCCTCTTGTTCCTGCTTGCGTGTGCCATTTGTCTCACTCCGTCAATCTGGGTCATTTTTTATAACAATTACCTGAACAGAAAATATGAGCCCGTCTTTAGCTTTGACATCTCTGTGTTTATTGCCATTGCCAGTGCCGGCGGTCTGTTTTTCACGTCCGTTCTGCTGTTTCTGTGGTACTGCGCGTGTAAAAGCCTACCTTCTCCGTTCTGGCAGCCCCTCTATTCCCATGCCCCTAGCATGCACAGCTACGCCTCTCAGCCGTATTCTGCACGCTCTCGCCTCTCCGCCATAGAAATTGACATTCCTGTTGTGTCACATGCATCTTAAGAAGACAAAGTCTTGGAAGCCAAGTTCTTGTGCTCATTCAAACCATGAAAATCGCAGGCTTGATTCTCTGTGCTGCCTTGCACTGAGCATAGTCGTTTGTAAGGTCAAGTTTCCCAAGGTGCAAAGCAATGGAGGCCTGGGTTCAGCAACTCCGTTGCTGTCCTCTTGTGTTACTTCCTGACCAACTACTTCTTTTGTTGTTTTTTTTTTTTTTTTAACTCTGAACTCACTACAGACAAAATTGCTGCTAATGCTGGGACAGTACACTAACAATAGTATCTGTTCATCCTTCTGCTTACTGACATTAAAGCAGGTTTGAACCTCTTTGCTATTTTGATAAGCTATTATTTGATTCTGATCCCATTGTAAGAGCTCCATAGGTGGCCCCTTGCACCCATGCGTTCTCCAAATGCAGGCAGTGGAACTGGGTGCAGGGGATTCACTGAGTTTCTTGTTGATTTAGACACACATGTTTTAAGATGTGATGTCTGAAAAGGCTATTTGGCAGACATTCAGTTCTGTAGCACTGTTCTTTGTTTTCCACTGCACACAAAAAAGCTACCCAATTATCAACTTCTGCAATATAATTAGGGTCAAATTACCCTATATTTTCAAAGTAGCTATCAGAAGGAATAAAACTGGTTTAACTAATAATGTACCTCTGTACTGTAGTAGCATTTTGTGACTTACTGGAGGCTAGAAACTTTTTCGTGAATTTTATTTCTAGTCTGTTTCTTAATAAGTCAGCAAATTCACTAGATTTATTTTGCGATTAAAACAAAAACCACTTGTATTTAAAAATTCTGTTTAGAAGCTTGAATATTTTATTGAAGGCCATCTTAAAGATGGATTTTCGAGTAGGATTTAAAGTACTATTCAGTTCTGGAGAGAAATGTCACTCAGTGCAAAATGGATTAAGAAAACCATGAAGAATTCTGAAGGCTGTGAAAGATTCTTTTGGAACACTGTACACAAGCTATAACAACATCTCTCTAGGAAGGGGATTATGACCCTGGGGAGAGAGTTTTTTAAATCTAGATTGTTTTGGGGTTTTTTAATGTATATACAAGTAACAATGAACTTGTGTATTTTTCAGAGTTGATCTTTATGATTGTTGAACTTCTCATCTGTAGCTTATTACTGATTAAGACAACCTTTTCAGCCTTGTTCTTCAACACCCTTCAAGTTGAGGTATTTTAAAATCCAGTTATTTCCTATGCTGCCACCTCACAACTGGAGAAAGTTCCGATTCCTATTTTCTGTAAGAAGAGGTTTTGAATAACTTGTGAGCTTCACCTTGTAGCTCTATGAGGATGAGGAGGGATTATAAATTCCCAACATGGGGTGTCTTTAAATTGTTTTTTTCTTTCTAAAATGCAGAGCAGCTTAGCCCTAAGGATCAAAGCTTTTCAATATGGGCTTTGAAATTACTTGGAAATATGATGACACTGAGTTGAAGAGTGTTGTAATTAAGTCAAGTATTTGATTTGCTCAGATTTTGGCAAATTGAGATCTTGTGTTTAAGATGTCATTCCAGTCAGGAAAGTGATTTTGACTGGTGGCATTCTGGAACTTAGTGGATATTTGTATTTCATTAATCCCAGCACAAATTTGCTTTGCTAAAAAAATCAAATAGAGTTTTCTAACTTCAGTTCTGCAAACTCATTTGAGGTCCTGAAAATCAGTTCATTTCCTTTTCCAGGCATTAGAGATAGGAACAAATGCTGCGCTGGGCAAATGTTGTTCTGTTACAATCTGTGCAATAATAGTATATTAAGAAGAATCTTTTGGGGTTTACTGGTAGGCCTTGGACTTTAGTGGACTCAGACGTTAGCTTTCTTTTGAGGAAGCTGAGCTCTGTCATAAATTCCCCGCATAGTCAGTAAAGTGACAGGCCGTTCAGGCAGAGTGCTTGATTAAATTGCAGTCTAAGGAATTAACACTGTAGATGATAAAGAATACTTAAGGAGGTAGGCCTTTAAAGTTATATGAATTTAATACCCTCTTAGGTTTACAAGGTATGATGTTAAATGAAGTATCTTTTTTTTTTCTTTCTTTTAATCAGATCATGACTTGTATGGGATTAGAACATAAATAATTACATGCAAGCCCACTTTTTTTCTTCGAAATTGAACTTTGCTTTACAGTTACTCTGGTTGTCCAACCATAAATACTGTTGCTGTTTCAGCTGCCCATATGCTTAGATGCTTTGTCAGGTCAAAGCATCTAAGGGACCACTGGTTTGTGATTTCATGTCAGGTTGCTTCTCCATCGCTCCAGTGTCTTTTCTTCTTTGTGCCTTGCTTAAGTTATGAATTGGCCAGTAAATGTTAGTTTTCAGTCAGCGTCTGGTATGCTTTTTGAGCCTGAATTTACAAAGCATTTTGATCATTTTGGAGGGATGATGAATACATCTGTTGCTGACTTTAAAAGGAGCTGAATCTTCAACATCTCCAGAGCAAGAAAGGCAGCCTGGCTAACTTGTGTTTTTCTATGGAGAGTAAATGAAGCCAGTGTGTTGTCTGTGTACTTTAAATAGCAGGTATCTCTGACAGCTCTTTTGTGTTCTTTGATTTTTATGCACTAAACTTTCAATCAGTATTTGCTGCTGCCTAAGCTGATAACTTGTTGCTTTGCAAATTGTGTCTTTTCAAAAGTCTGCGATGGATCTGAGTTATGAAAAGTGGGGATCCAAAAGTTAGTGGATTCCAGCACAGGTTTTGGTTGAGGTCATCTTTATCAATAAGACTGTTGCATCACGTTGTATCCCCGAAGCACGGCTGGGTTTCTTTCAACAGTGCTGTTAATGTGAGTTTCTGCTGGATACTAAGTGAAATTAACTGGAAGTGCTGTGGTGTATTTCTCCTTCTTTACAGAAGAGGTGGCCAACCTGTGACACTTGAGCCGAGTGCCACTCCAGCATTTCTCTTGCAAAGGTTACAGCGTGCCCAGCGGCAGGGCTGGGGAGTGACAGGCCTCCTGGGATTTGGGGATAAGAACGCCTATATCCTGTCTGTGTCTGTGCCAGGGAACAGCCGCTGTGGAGCGGTTAGCACCCCTGCCTCTGACCAGCTGCTCCTTCCTGGGCACTTCGCCGCGTGCGGGACAGGCACTCTGGGTCTTGAACACAGGAAGATTTTAATTTGTGGCTCATGCAGTCAAAGGTTGGGTGCTCTGGGGTGACAGGAATCTGTATTTTTTTCTAGTAATTCCTGTCCAACTTCTTAAGTTGTGTTTAATTACAGTGTTGGTTCTTTTTATGTGAAACAGAAGATATGTATTTTTAATAAAACATTCTCATACAGATGCAGTTTATTTTGATTCATTTTTAACTGCTAGAATATGAAAGACTTTACCTGTTTTCATGTTGATCAGGAGATTTGCCAGACTGTTTCAGATGCCTTAACTAAAATATATTGTGTACACTGCATTTTAACTCCCTAATTTTATAGGACTGCTGCTTCAAACAAAACAAAAAAAACTCCAAAAAACCTAAGCCAACCCCCTTCTGCCACCTTCTGAAAGCCTCACTATTACTTAGAATTTCCCTTTATTTTTACTGTAAGCTAGTTCTAAAACGTACTAGGGTTCCTTTTTCCTTTCTAAGGAGGAGAGTGATTTCCCTTAATCTAGAGGATTCCCCTTCTCTGCCAGTGGCCAGCATGGGGGCTGGGGGCCAGGATCTGGTTCAGCCCCATGACAGAGCCAAAGTGTCAGTGGGACAAGGAAAAGAGCGCGGTCTTTGCCTAGCACCCAAAGCTCTGCCTCCTCCGTGCGTCCATTACGCCACTCACTCAACCGTTGCTCACCCAGTGCAACTTAATAACCCAGCTGAAAACTTCCCTTGGGTTAGTTTTCTCCTAGAGCGGTAAGATTTGCATCACACAAGAAAGGTGGTGGTGGCATTAGTCATCCTCCTGTCCTCTCCCCTCTGCTGTGCCGGCTGTGATGTCAGCTGGAGAATCATAGAATCATCTAGGTTGGAAGGGACCTTTAAGATCATCGAGTCCAACCATCAACCGAACACTGCCAAAACCGCCACTAAACCATGTCCCTCAGCGCCACAGCTACCCGTCTTTTAAATACCTCCAGGGATAGAGACTCAACCACTTCCCTGGGCAGCCTGTTCCAATGTTTGATAACCCTTTTGGTGAAAAAATTTTTCCTAATATCCAATCTAAACCTCCCCTGGTGTAACTTGAGGCTATTTCCTGTTGCCCTAGTGCCTGTTATTTGGGAGAAGAGACCAACCCCCACCTCACTATCAACCTTCTTTCAGGTAGCTGTAGAGAACAGTAAGGTCTCCCCTCAGCCTCCTCTTCTCCAGGCTAAACAACCCCAGTTCCCTCAGCGGCTCCTCATAAGACTTGTGCTCCAGACCCCTCACCAGCTTTGTAGCCCTTCTCTGGATATGCTCCAGCACCTCAATGTCTGTCTTGTAGTGAGGGGCCCAAAACTGAACACAGTACTCAAGGTGTGGCCTCACCAGTGCTGAATATAGGGGGACGATTGCTCCCCTAGTCCCGCTGGCCACACTATTTCTGATACAGGCCAGGAGGCCATTCTCATACACGCCAGAATACGGTACTGCCTTGTATGTGAAAATCATTTGGGCATCCCAGGGACTTGCGGCAGTCCAGAATGACAGTAATGGTTAGTGATGCTTCGTTTCTCTCGTGTGCTGCTGCTGGCAACTACAGCACCGAGCCTTTCCCCGTTTTTATGGGGCAAAATACAAACCCTTTGAGCAATAGAAGT